TGTTATCCAGTCAACTGAAAATTTCATATGCTATTGTAACTTGATGAGGATGCTCACTGGGCTTTATGGGGGTTTTGTCTTTGTTACAAGATATTTTTGTGTGTGCAAGCTTCCAAGGGTGGTTTTTAATTTGTTATTGACGTTTGTGTGAGTAACTTCGAGTTGTACTTCCTTTTTCTGCATTTATCTCCAATCCAAGAGTGAATATTGTTACTAGTCTTTCTGGCAGTCCGTGTGATAGTAACTGAAATATTATTAGTCTTTCTGGCCGTCCGCATGATAGTAACTGAAATATAAGTGTAAGATAAGCTTGACTTTAGAAAAAAAGAACTACTCTTCAATTCATGCATGCAAGAAAACAAAGTCACGCTGCAATTGTTCAATGACTATTATGACAAAAATAGTCTTGATATATCCTTTATATCTGCTGCATTATACTTTCCTAGGGGCAGCCCGGTGCACTAAGCTCCCGCTATGCGCGGGGTCCAGGGAAGGGCAGGACCACAAGGGTCTATTGTACGCAGGCTTACCCTACATTTCTGCAAGAGGCTGCTTCCACAGCTCGAAACCGTGACCTTCTGGTCACATGGCAGCAACTTTACCAATTACGCAAGGCTCCCCTCCATTTTACTTCCCTAGACCAGAAAGAAAAGAGACTGCGTGAGCACGGGTGTCTTTATTGTAACTTCCTGATTGCACAAGGAGACATCTCTTGTTATCTGTCTCTGGTTAATGAGATAAGCCAAGTTATTCTGAAAAGGTTCACTCATTGCCATTTCATTGTTGACAGAGATGAAATAATCATTAAAGCAAAGCCAATTTCTCTTGATGTGCTGTTCATGATCGTTTGCTTTCAGCTTTTGCTACTGTAGTTTTCACAGTTAATTTGTTTTAAATGCAGCGAATGAGCAATGCAACTATAGTGCAACAGCCTCAGAAGGAAGCATTTTCTGGGAAGTTCGGAGGTCTCATTTACCCTTTCTAGGTGTAGTATCTTGCCGCAGCATCATAATCTTTTAGCTACATTTATGATGTTGTGGATTTGCTGCACGAAATTAGCGTTCAGCTAGGGAATTACAGTATCTGGCCCCTTATTAATTTACATATATTGTTGCTAGATATTATGTTGTCTGTGTAAAATCTGATATTGTCCCTGGTGGTCAGACGATAATTCCTACTGTAACTCTTGTATCACGTTATCAGCTTGTATTTTAGTAGTATTTCAGACATTGTTTTCAGATGACGACCTTGTTATCACCAAGTTATTATAGTATTCTGTTAGTAAGTTAGTAGTCTACCTAAAGTTGGGTAACTGCTGAGAGTTCATTTGCTATTCCTTTTATCTCATAAAGGAATACTAGATTCCTAAAACTATATGTTACATGAGAGCAAGCCATCATTTGCATTGAGATTGCATGTTAAGTTGGGCATTCATCTTCTTTTCCTGAAGTCCTTTCTCCCCCATTGATTCTGATAATATCAGAGGCAAAGCTACATAGTTGATCACCTTTCGTCGAAAATTTACACTGTGCATATAAGTGAATATTAGGTTTTAGAGGTATATTGAACATTCTTTATCGGGAAACTTTTTTTACTTCTTTCGAGTTTGAACACTCTTGATGAAATCTCTGGCTTCGCTACTGCATGAATGCAAATTACACCATCTTTTACCTCAGCTTATACAGGGGCAAGTTGTTGCCTCAGATTAAGAACCTTCAATGAATCTAATTACAGGCTGTGAGCATAGCAAAATACTCATAAACATTGCTATTCATTTATCTTTGAGGAAGACAGAGCATGACTTAAGATCGCAGCATTTGTTTGTTTATAGAGAAACTGTTGGTGTGTTATTTAAAATTGAGTTTAAGTTATATGCACCGATAATATAAACGTTATTTATAGAAGGAATTTTTACCTCCTACAGCAAAGGTTGATACCTTATTTATTTTAAATAAATACCTTTTTAAAAAATTATATTCCATAGCTATCTTTTGATTTTTATAGCCAAATATCTGTTTATGGTTACCTCCTACCCTTAAGCCATAAAATACTCTTAATTAATTGCACTAACCTTATAGCCTCGTATTGGCTGGCCTAAGTCAGAATCCTATGGAGAAGGTCTTGTTCACCTGCTTCTCGAGTGTATGTTTATCCCTTCACTCCCAAGTCATTCAAGGGCTTGTTTGTATAATCATGGGTTCTTTATCCCTATGGAGTGTATTGTTTAGGTCTCTCATTCTTTCAGATGGAGGTTCGAAATCAAAGCAACGACCATCGAAATCAAAGCAACGGCCATGGAAATCAAGCCCTAGGAGTGGAAAGGCCTCATCAAAATCAACAGCGTTCCGATCGAGTAGTCCAGCCTGAAATCCTCCGTTACAAAGCTTTCGAACCAATTATCCTCTTAGGCCGCCACAGATTCGCCGGAGTGGACAAAGACGACGGAGTTGGGGGCTGAGCAACTTGAATTTTCTGTTAATATATTTCAATGTATCTCGCTGTATTTCTATGTATTTCATTGTATTCATTGTCTTTTTTTTTCATTGTATTTCAATGTATCTCGCTGTATTATATGTATTTCATTATATTCATTGTTTTTTTTTTATTGTATTTCAATGTATCCCGCTGTATTCTATGTATTTCATTGTATTCACTGTCTCGCTATATTCCATGAATGTATTCATATGTTTTTTTTAATTGATATAATTTATGTATTCAGATATATTATATAATTTCTCTGAAGATTGCTATGTTTTTGGGGTGTTTTTCGGTTGAGAATCTTTTTTATAAGTGGAAATACAAAATTTGTGTGTTATAATTGAGTTTGTTGAGTTATATTAGGAGTCTATTATGTTAATTGATTCACTTTTCGTTTAAAAACAGTGTAATCCCTTGTTTCACGCCGTGAGTACAGTCGAATACAATAATATGTCTAACTGTAATCCCATGTTTCACGCCATGAATACAGTCGAATACACTCGAATACAAAAATCTGTCTAGCTGTAATCCCCTGTTTCACGCCTAGAAATGCTACTGTATTCATGAATACAATAGCTTAAATACATCGAATACACTCTAAAAAATCTGAAAACATAGCTATAGGAAGTAATATAGTAAATGGTAGCTACAACTAGCTAATAACCACTAAAACATAGTGGTTTCTGAAAGTTTCTCTTTATATAATAGGTCACTTATAAGGTAAATACTAGTAAATTTCTATAACGAACATTAATAGATATTTTGGTAAATATGGTAACTGACCCACTATCTTAGGGTGTGTTTAGTATGAAGGAAAATGTTTTCCTAAAAAATGAGTGATTTTATCACTTATTTTCCCTTGTTTGGTGGGTGAGTGGAAAAAAAATTTCGAAAAATATTTTCTGGTGTTTGGTTAGAGTATAAAAACAACTAATGTGCTACTTTACTTTTTTACACAAGAACAACGATAAAATTTGAGCTCGATAACTAAAAAAAATATTTGATTTTGTTGAAAAGAAAAGTATCATTTCTACAACATAAAAAGAAAATTACTCATTTTGTTGAACGAAAGAAAATACTTTTTCGACATCATTAAAAGAAAATACTCAGTTGGTTGAAATGAAAGAAAATACTTTTTCTATCACATGAAAAAAAGTACTTGTTTTGTTGGGAAAAAAATACTTTTTCTATTTTAAGAAAAGAAAATAGTTAATTTGTTGAAATGAAAGAAAACACTTTTTCTAAATCATGAAGAAAAGTACTTATTTTGTTGAAATGAAAGAAAATATTTTTTCTACATCATGAAAAGAAAGTACTTATTTGTTGCAAAAATACTTTTTTCTATTTCAGGAAAAGAAAATACTTAGTTTGTTGAAATGAAAAAAAATACTTTTTAGTTCATGAAAAAAAAAGTACTCATTTTTTTTTTTTGAAATGAAAGAAAATACTTTTACTATATCATGAAAAGAATATACTCATTTTGTTGAAATAAAAAAAAATACTCTATCTACACCATGAAAAGAAAATACTCATAATAATAGTTTTATTTAGAGTGGGTGGTGGACGAAGTTGGTGGGGTGTGGTGGGCAGATAGGGGTTGGGGTGGATGGGTAGGGGTGGTTTGGGGTGGTGTGGGTGGAGGTGGGTTGGTGGGGAATAGGGTGGAGAAGGCTGAAAACGAGTTTTGGAAAATATTTTTCTTTGTTTTGATACAATTTTCTTCCAATCGGAGGAAATTGAGTTCACGGGGAAAATGTTTTCCACATTTAAGCCAACCAAACATGGAAAAATTGAGAAACATTTTCCGAAAAATATTTTCCTTCATACCAAACACACCCTTAATTCGCTAAGATTCCCCAGTTTGAGGAAATGAATTTCTTTATTCTTATTTGAGAATGGCTCTCGCGCCTTGTTGGTGAGGCGAAGTCTGAGTTTTCTGAGCATCTAACATAACTGATGAATTTTTATTGAAAATTTACAAAAAATTATGATTTGTTTCCATCAGGTAGAGTAACCGCTTCTTACAGCTATATATTAGTATTTGGTTTTGAGAAATTGACAAGGTAATGGATATTAAATCAGATTAGGGTTGGCTTTTGTCCTCCTGCAGAAATGATTTTGAGGGACTAAAATCAACAAATGCTTTCGGGAAAGAAAGGGGAGGGGGCGGAAAAATATATTTTCCCACGTTTAAGTATTTGTCCCAAGTGACATATTTACATTCTCAAGCCAGGAGAAAGGTGAAAGAGGTACTCATTTAGCTCTAATTAGAACATAGAAGCCATATATGTTGAACTAATCCTTTAAAGCAGATACATCTTCACATTAAGGCCCCCAAAAGTGCAGCTAGTTGGTAACATTTGCAAGTTCTAGTCCCAACATCAGCAAGAAAAGATGTTTTAATCAGTAAGCTCAAATTTGAAGATTATTGTGAATAAAAACAAACGTGATGCGATGTCTCTCTGGCTTATGTGGATACTGGCGCCTGGCAATGCATAGTCTGTGTTGGCCATCTGCTATTGAGATCCAAAAATTTCAGCAACATGGTACAACTTGAACCTTACATACCTTTGCAGTACTAAAGACAGCAAGAATACTGATAGTTACTAAGACCAAGGACTAATAAGGCAATCAAAGTGCATGTTACTAAAAATTACTCTTGCAGCATAGTTGCTGTCATAGTTAGACGAAATGCTGCACAGTTTCTTTCCAGTGGTGGACGTTGTAATTAGACTGCTGCAAGCATAGTAAATTACTCCTGAAAATTTTCATGCATAACTCTCATTGAAGAAGAAGAGAGCATGATGCAAGATTGCAGCAGCTACTTGTGTTTAAATAACACCGCAAACTAGCTACTGAGAAGATTAAATTCCCCATTTGCAAAAGACTATTTTTCCTTTGCTGGTTTAGCTAGCAGTCTCCTTAGTCCCTACAGCCGAAGATGCTGAATGTGAGATCACATTAACTTCTCGAAATCAAAGATGGTATACACATACTCACAAGCCTAAAAAGATCATTCCTTTTTTATCAACTACTCACAAGCCTAAAAAGATCATTGCTTTTTGATCAATTCATATCCAAACTAAGGAGGTAGATCAAAGTACCTATAAGTAACTATTGCAGTATAGTTGCTATCATAGATTGACAACAACGCTGCACAGTTTCTTTCCAAGGAAGGACATTGTAATTAGCAAGCATAGTAAAATACTCCTGAAGAGAGAACACGATGCAAGACTGCAGCATATATTTATGTATATAAACACAGTAACTAGCAAGAGAAGATGTTAAACTCCCATGTGTGCTATTCCGTTGCTGGTTTAGCTTACATTCTCAATATTGCTAAAGACGATCAATGTAGATCATTGCTTTGGGCTTTGGCTAATATAATAAGCTAACATTAACTGCTTGAAATCAAAGATGGATCACAAAATCTATCTCTCACATACAAGCCTAAAAAGATCATTGCTTTTCGATCAAGTCATACTCAATCTAATTCGAGCTGCAAGGAAAACACACAATTTCCGCAAAAGTTAATCCATCCAACAATTGCACCAAAACACAAATCAAGACCAACACTATAAAACCTTTCGAAACTAGTATTAGGCATCAAAATTTACAAATTCATAACACAATTCATCATCACTCTGTATATAAATTACAGAAACCATGATTTCCATTAATAATAAGGAACCAACCTAATAAGTCGTTTTTCATCCCGAAGATGGGAATACATCCTTAACAGCAGAAGCAGCAGTTAAATAATTCAAAGTATTCCTCAAAGTTTCCTTTTCCCTTTTCAATCTCACAGCTGTATCTTCTAACTCAAGCAACGCTTGTTGTTCCCGTGGGGCTCCTTCAAACGTACTCCCAACGAAAAACGAAAACGGCGTCGGAAATAAATTCCGTCGTAAATCTGTTGCCTCCTTTTCAGCTTTCCCGTTCAATCTGTTAGACAAACGGATCACGTCTTTCATGTAATTTTCCACTTCGTTAGCTAAACCTTCCACGTCATCTTCTCCGTTAGCTGACGGACGGTCTTCCAGCCACGTCACCTCAGCAACTAAGTACGGTTTGGAACGGACGAGTTTACTGACCCGGAACCGTTCTTGCCCTTTACAGATTAGAAAAAACCGGTCGTCGACGAGGCGTTCGTGTTTAACGACTTCGCCTACGCAGCCAACGTCGGCGGTACCGGTAGCGCTATCGGAGTAAATAACGCCGAAACGAAGGTCGGTTTGGAGGAGTGTATGCATCATTATACGGTAACGAAACTCGAAGATTTGGAGCGGGAGGATTGCGCCGGGGAAGAGGACAAGAGGGAGAGGAAAAAGTGGAAGCTCGACAACGTCGTCGGAGTTGGGTGAACTGCCGGTGTGGTGTTTCTCCGGGAAGGAAGAGGCGGAGCATCGGAGAGTGTAATTATTACGGCGGCGCCGGCGATGGAGGAGTGGTTGTGGAGTAAAGTGACACTTAGGGTTATTAGATAGTGGGGTAAAAAAGTAATTACAAGGATTTAACTGGGGTTTGTGAGTGAAAGAAGAAGAAGAAGGTAAGATTTGAGGCAAAGCCATGGAAATAAAAATGGGTTCTTGAAAATCAGAGAGTAGACATTGATAAACAACAGAGGAAAAAGAAAAAAGAAAGTTTGTTATGGAATTAACGAAAATGTAGTAGCATAAAGTCTATCTATCAAAATCTGTGGATTTGGAACAACTTGTAAACCTAAATATCCATAGGGGTTGAGTATTTGAATGTGGTGTGCAGATTTACACGTGGAATTATGTTATCTTAAGCTTATGTGGCAAAATGTGTTACTTACTAGTCGACAAGACTTATGGTGAATGGTTCTTACCGTTTGCAACATCAATTTTTGGGAGAAATTGAGAAATGGCTAGATTTACAAGTGGTCCTTCACAGCTAAAGTTTTAGAAGTAGTCTAAATTTAGTCATTTTTCATGTAAAGATAAATTTGAACGAAAATACTGTTCAAAATTCAAAAAATACTCCAGCATAATATACTGGAATTCCAGCATAATATACTGGAACTCTAATATAATATATTGGAACTCCAGTATAATTCAGTATATTATACTGGAGTTCCAGCAAAGTATACTGAAACTCCAGTATATTATACTGGAGCCAGCAAAGTATATTGGTCCAGCATAATATGCTGGAAGTTCATATACAGGTGCACCGAACTCCAGTATATTATATTGGATCGGTCTTTGTTGCAGCAAAATAGTGGCTATTTTTCAATGACTTGGCAAACGCTGACTATTTTTGAATGACCAGTCCAAAAATTGGCTAGCTCATGCTATTTTAACTCAATTTTCGGATTTTCATTTCCTCATCCTAAAAAGAAGTGTATCTCTAAAAGGAGTTCCGTCTCTTCTTTTTTAGTTATATACTCCCTCCGGTCCACAATAAGTGGCCAATTTGCTTTTAGCACGCCCATTAAGAAAATACTAAATTCTATACAAAAATACAGTATGACTAATCTACCCTTAATTAAATATTTAATGTGAGGAGTAAGAATTTTTTTTAGGGATATGTACATAAGGTTAATTTTGTAAAAACAAATTAAATTCTTTCTTGATTATATAAATGGAGTATGACTAAACTAGTATGACTAAACTACCCTTAATTAAATTCTTTCTGATACCTTGAACCTGGTGAGCAAGCGGGCCTTCACCAGTCCAGTTATCCCACCAGAAGCTTGATGAACCATTTTGAATGCTCCATGTAATGTGAATTTCCACCTTGTACCTGGTCTTTAACAGGTTTTTCCAACCGTGAGAATCTGCCGAGGTCATGGTTTTACTTATCGAATGAGATCTTACGCAATATTTGGCTCTGAGAAAGGTGGCCCATAGAGAGTTCTGCGTTCTAAACCTCCACCATCTCTTAATACTAAAAGTATCAATTACATCTTGCATCTTACTAATTCCAATGCCACCTTCGTCTTTGGGAAGACACATATTATGCCAAGAACTCCAATGGTATTTGTTTGACCCATCTGTAGAACCCTAGAAGAAGTTTGCAAAATATTTTTCCATGAGAGTAATAGTGCCTTTGGGGGGCTCATAGCAGATAGAGTGTAAGTGGGGAGAGATTGCAATACATGCTTGATCAGTGTGATTTTTCCCCCTGGAGATGGAATTTCACCTTGCCATCCATTGAGCCTTTTAACAATCTTCGCTAACATTCCTTCAAATAAGACTGTACTTTTCCTTCCATGATAGATAGGGCACCCCAGATAATTGAAAGGAAACTTTTTATCCTTGAACCCTGATGCTTGCCTAATTCTATCGATCCTGGAAGCAGAGGTGTTAGGAGAAGTGATGAAATAACTCTTGTCATTGTTGACTTTTTGTCCCGAAGCCTTTTCATACCTCCTAATTTGATTCTTGATAACTGGTGATGGATTTCTTGTTACCTCCACAGAATATGACAATGTCGTCAGCATATGCAAGGTGATTGATCTTTGGACTTCTGTTATTCATGCTGAAAGGGGTAAAATTTTCACATATGAAGAGATTATTCAAGGATCTGGATAACACTTCTACACTAATAATAAACAAAGAAGGGGAGAGTGGATCTCCCTGTTTCAAGCCATGGGAGGAGGTAAAGAAACCTTTCCTATTACCATTAATAATAATAGAGTACCAGACTTCATTAACCAAACCCTAAATGATGTCAATCCATTCCTCCGAGAAACCAAATTTCCTTAAAACCAACATGATAAAGCTCCAGGACATTCTGTAGTATGCTTTCTCCATGTCTAGTTTGATAATAACATTACACCCACAGTTTTTATGCTTGATGTTCTGGGTGATCTCTTGTGCTAGCAAAATGTTTTCAGTAATGGATCTTCCTTTGACGAACCCACTTTGGTTTTCTGAGATGAGTTTATGAAGCATAGGATTTAGTCTTCTAGAAAGGATTTTGGATATGATCTTGGCAGTGAAATTGCTTAGACTGATGGGTCTAAGCTCTGAAAAGCTGCTGGGAGATTCTACTTTAGGACGTAGAACCAGGCATGTGTGTGAGAAGAACTTAGTTAGTCTCTTTCCATTAAAAATTTCTTGCACGAAGCCAGTGATATCATCTTTGATTATATCCCAACATTTCTGAAAAAAAGTGTCGTTAAAGCCATCAGGACCAGCTGCACTATTAGCACCCATATCAAAAACAACATCTCTGATTTCCTCCGTATTAGGAATGGTAGTTAGGATAGTGTTATCATCGTCAGTGATAATCCTAGGAATGCATTCAGGTATATCAATATCATTGAATTGGTGCTTGATGTTGAATCTCTTGTGAAAGTGTCTAATAGCGGCCTTTGCAATGTTATCATCTCCATCCACCCATCTGTCTCTATGATCTTTGATCTTATGAAGCTGTAGCCTTCTTCTTCTTTCCCTGATTAGACTATGAAAATACTTGGTATTAGAATCACCTTCTTCGAACCACTTGATGTTTGCTTTCTATTTAAGAATAGAATCTTGCATGGTCATCCATTTGATGTATTCAGCTTGCCCTCTATTTAGTTCTTCTCTAGATAGATCAGTATTGTTTTGCAGATCAAGCTCTTCAAGGACATTCATTTTGGCTTCCCAGTGTTGAACATGCTCATACACATTTCCAATCTCCTCTTTAGACCATTGAGTAAGTCTTTTGCTGAGTTTTTTTAGTTTCTGTTGAAGTTTCCACAAGGCATTCCCACTAATATTAGAGGTCCACACTTCTTCTACCAGGTTCATGAAGGAAGGATGCTCCACCCAGAAGTCAAGGAATTTGAAGTATTTAATACCATTGTTGTTTTTGTTATAGCACTTGAGAAGTAAAGGTCTATGGTAAGAACCAGTTCTTGGGAGATGCTTTACAACATTGTTTTGCATAAGCTAACACCGTGAGTCATTAACAAAGATTCTATCAAGCCTCTTCCAAATCCTTCTTCTAGCCTCCCAATTATTGCACCAAGTGAACTTAGGCGCAACATAGCCCAAATCCTTAACTTCACAATTATTCATGCAAGAGCTGAAGTCTAAACTTTTGTACATTCTGTGAGGTCGACCTCCCTGTTTCTCTTCCGGGTCCAGTCTCCTCCGATGCACCACGGGCCATCAATCATCATGTGAGTGTCTTCCAAGCTACACCATAGGTCTTTTCTTTCATTAGCTTTACATTTTGCATAAACTGCAGTAATGTACATACTCTTAGCATCCACCCCATTATGTATTTTGATAGTGATTTCTTGATCATCCACAGTAACCACACTTGATTGAAACTTTCGAGACCATATGAGCCAAATTTGCCCATTTGTATTGGATATGCAATGCTTAAGCCTAAGAAACTTCATGTATTTATCGATCTTGTTCATACTGGCAAAAGGTTCCATGAGCGCTATGAAATCTACTTTGTTGATGTTGACAAGTTTTTTTAGTATGGGCATGGCCTTTTTTGTGTTAACTCCATATTAATACTTTGACTTCTTCGTCCGTTCGAGTATTTTACACATAAATGAGACTTACCATCATAAATTCGAAATAATCGATTTTTAAAACAAGTAGCAGTTATCAGACGAAAAACAAAAAAAATTATAAATATTAAATTTGCATAATTGTGTAGATGGATTGGTATCAATTATACCTATTAATCGGGCCGGGTTGACCCATTTTCAGACCGCTTCAACCCGGGTCAGCCCGGTTCAACCCGCTACTGTTTACAATTGGGCGGGTTGGGACGGGTTGGTTAGGGGGGCGGGTTGTTGACGTTAACGTTTAGCCTAACGGTGCACCTAAACCGATTAACTCGTTAAGCAATATCGGGTTGAACACGGGCTGCAGCCCGTTAGCAACCCGGTTACCATTGGAATTTTTTTTTAAAAATTAATTTGACCGTTCCCAACGGTCAAAATTGAAAAATGACCGTTGGGGAATGGCCAGATTTTGCAAAAAATGGCCATTTCGCCCCCCCATTAAAAATATAGCCCTCCCACCCCTAATAATTGAAAAATTACATTTTTAGCCTTTTAAAATCTATAAATAGCCCCCCATTCTTCTTCATTTTTTTCTCACAATTCACTCTCTTACTACTCTAATTCTCTCTCAAGTCTCAATTCTCTCCTGATATTATAGTTCTTAAATTCTCAAATCTCAAATTCTCAATTATTTATTATTTCAAGTTTCATCAATTATTTAGTTTAGTCATTACAAAATTATTATTATCAAATATCAATTATTCAAGTGAAGTGTGGTATCAAGTATTCAAGTATAAAGTATCAACTATCAAGTTTCGACTTTCGGTCTATCAATTGAAGTTTGATTTTTGATATCAAAAATTCAAAATTAGTGCGGCATCTGGAATCCCGGTACACTCGTTCCATCTCTTTCTCTTATTTGGTGTACACTTATTTTATTATTTAGAATTATTAATTTAGTTTATTAATTAAGCTTCTTACTTTAATTTCTTACTTTAATTTCTTAATTTAATTTCTTACTTTAATTTATATAATGAATTTACTTAGAGCGGCCAAAAAAGCGTGCACTAGTAGAGGTGGTAGTAAGAAAACTTCAAAAAGAACAAGAGGTGGTGTTGGTTCTTCTAGTAGCTTTACACATATTTCTGAAAGTTCACCTGAAAATTTAAATGTAGATTATGAGCGATTGCAAGAAAATTATGGTGTAGATGATGATTTAGATGATATTCA